GAGTCCAAGTAAGCAGCGGGTACTGCAGTGTTGATAGTAATTGTTATTGTCGTGATGGAATAATAGACAATAACTGGATTTGCGTCAGGAGAAACATGTATAGGTGTAATTTTGCCCTACCTGACGTGGAAATGTACCGAATACTCAGTACAGTTGAAAACAACTGCGAAAAATCGCAAGTCGTTCTCGGGTGGGACTCGAACCCATGATCTCCAGATCACTAGCCTGGCATCATACCTCTAGACCACCGAGCTTGCGCCTGATGGCCAGGGTTGAATTCGAGTCCAAGTAAGCAGCGGGTACTGCAGTGTTGATATTAATTGTTATTGTCGTGATGGAATAATAGACAACAACTGGATTTGCGTCAGGAGAAACATGTATAGGTGTAATTTTGCCCTACCTGACGTGGAAATGTACCGAATACTCAGTACAGTTGAAAACAACTGCGAAAAATCGCAAGTTGTTCGCGGGTGGGACACTCTTCATCAGGATCTATACAAAGATGATATACAAAGATATAAAGATGATGAAGAGCGTAAGCTCGAAAGCTTGATTCCGTAATTAAAGACGTTTTGTTCCATCCAAGCCTCCGACTATTTCTTTCATTTATACATACCAGCGCCTTCCACGATTGAAACCGTCTCAAGGCGCTTATATATATATTCTGCAGTTGACACCAAAGGCAAAAAAATGTTTCATTAAGGTATATAGAAATACATAGATCTCTTTAGAATAATGGTCATGCCAGTATAATTGTAATTATTGATATGGGGCCTATGGCATGGGTCAAAGCTCATTCATAGCATTTCCAGTACTTTTTGACAATTATCTTAATAAAGTAAATAGAAGCATGTATCGGTATATATTGAATAATGAGATCAATATCAAGTCCCTACAACTTGTATGATACGGAGATATGTATAGGTGACAACATGCAACTAAGACTGCACATTGTAAGGTGCAAATGAGCAAGTATTTAATTTAAAAAAACTATTATACCAAAGGTTAGAAATGGCATTTTGGTCTAGTAGGCCTACCATTTTAAAGTTACATCATACAATTGATGTTCTGAGCAAATTGACACCAACAAAAATCCTCTACTCATGTTTATATAAATGAGTGTTGTTTCATATCTGATTGAATTTTACCATTATATAATATTTATTATAAATCAAATAGTTTAATAATATAGATAGTGTTGACTTATATTAAATAACAGATATTACTGTACAACATAATAATGAATTATATTATTCGCTTGATTCAGAATCAAGATTCAAAACGTTTATTCGTCCTCAAAAAGGGGATTCATTACCGGCAATGAACAAGTTCGAATTTATAAAATGTAAAATAAGAAAGGATGGATGTTCAACAATTCAAGAAACACAATGAAATCAGACAAAAAAGAAATCATATTTTAAATGTTTAATTAAATTGTTGGGTGCCTTGAGGTATTGCACACATTTTCCATAGTAATCATATAATTAAAACAATTGTTTTCATATTATTCCCATTGTTTACTTTACATATTCAATAACCTCCTATAACGTCCATACTTACTACTATTCCCGTTCATAATTAGAATAACGCATCATCTGCCAATGTGATGGCAGGTCACTTTTCATTATCTGTTGTAACGTCAGAAAACTACAAAGTATGTCTCAGGACATTGACCTTGTGGAGCCACTGTGCTGGTGGTAATAACAGGGGATTGAGCTTGGTATATGTAATATTTTTTATTAATCATGTATAATTAATATCAAATTGATCATTAGCGATATTCAAAAATGTTTCTTTTTTTTGTCTACGTGTTGCCAATATACATAATAAATAGTCTATGAGCAATTGTAGATACTTTTAGATCAATAATATATTTTTTAACCGACAGGTGTCATAACATTGTTGAATTACAAACGTTAAGATAACATCAACAGTACATAAACTTGTACTACAAATGAAAAGCTTAACATTGATATTTATACACATTAGATCGCCATACATTGAAAAACAAAGCCAGACAGCTGCAACTGCAACAATACTGAAGATAAAAGATAATTACATTTGACTGACAACATTGACAACAAACGCCAATAACCGTACACACATAATTTTAATCATCAAATATATTATTTTGCAAATTGAGTCTAAATGAAACCAAGGATAAACTCCTTGACTACACTTGCATGTTAAAAGCAAGCGATCAAAAACCAATCCGTTCATTAGTGCATTATTACGATTAATGGTATTGGACGCTGTCATTACTTCCTTAATGACTCGATCTGAACTTGCCTGTAAAATCATCTCAGTCTGATCTATATTTGCTGAAGAGGATGCACACATAAATTAATATCCATCTTAGGGTGATTATCCAATCATCACACGTTAG